CCATCATTCTTAAATGGAAGAAGTTTGGAACCAAGACTCTTCCTAGAGCTGGCTGCCCAGCCAAACTGAGCAATCTTGGGAGAAGGGCCTTGGTCAGGGAGGTGACCAAGAACCCGATGGTCACTCTAACAGAGCTCCAGAGTTCCTCTGTGGAGATGGGAGAACCTTCTAGAAGGACAACCATCTCTGCAGCACTCCACCAATCAGGCCTTTATGGTAGAGTGGCCAGACGGAAGCCACTCCTCAGTAAAAGGCACATGACAGCCCACTTGGAGTTTGCCAAAAGGCACCTAAAAGACTCTCAGACCATGAGAAACAAGATTCTCTGGTCTGATGAAACCAAGATTGAACTATTTGGCCTGAATGCCAAGGGTCACATCTGGAGGAAACCTGGCACCATCCCTACGGTGAAGCATGGTGGTGGCAGCATCATGCTGTGAGGATGTTTTATAGCAGCATGGACTGGGAGACTATTCAGGATCGAGGCAAAGATGAACGGAGCAAAGTACAGAGAGATCCTTGATGAAAACCTGCTCCAGAGCGCTCAGGACGTCAGACTGGGGTGAAGGTTCACCTTCCAACAGGACAACGACCCTAAGCACACAGCCAAGACAACGCAGGAGTGGCTTTGGGCAAGTCTCTGAATGTCCTTGAGTGGCCCAGCCAGAGCCCGGACATGAACCCGATCGAATGTCTCTGGAGAGACGTGAAAATAGCTGCGCAGCAACGCTCCCCATCCAACCTGACAGAGCTTGAGATCTGCAGAGAAGGATGGGAGAAACTACCCAAATACAGGTGTGCCAATCTTGTAGCGTCATACCCAAGAAGACTCGAGGCTGTAATCGCTGCCAAAGGTACTTCAACAAAGTACTGAGTAAAGGGTCTGGATATTATGTAAATGTTATATTTCCGTTTTTATTTGTAATACATTTGCAAAGATTTCTAAAAACCTGTTTTTACTTTGTCATTATGGGGTATTGTGTGTAGATTGATGAGAGGGGAAAAAACAATTTAATCAATTTTAGAATAAGGCTGTAATGTAACAAAATGTGGGAAAAGTCAAGGGGTCTGAATACTTTCCGAATGCACTGTATATATTTCCTTTATTATTATTGATTTTTTAATGTTGTTTTTTTTTAATGTTTTTTTTCTCTCTTGGGGCCCCCCACGGGCCTGGGCCCAGGGGTTTCAGCCCCGGTAAGCCCCTGCATTAATCCGGCCCTGTATGTAATGTGCATGCTAAAGTGAGGATTATCTTTGTTTTCTCTTCCCATCTTTACAGCTACGCTCCTTTCTGCAAGTGAGAAAATACAACCTCGACTTGGCATCACTGATTCTCTACGCTTTCCAGCTAAGCACAGCACTCGCCTACCTGGAGAGCAAGCGGTTTGTACATAGGTAAGCCCTCACCCCAATCTAGCCTTATTAATATGGCTTGTGTGTGTTTCCTGTAAACTCACTACTCTTCTCTTTTCAATTGTAACCACGTCTGCTTCTTGCAGGGATATAGCTGCCAGGAACGTTCTGGTATCCTCAGTGGACTGTGTTAAACTGGGAGACTTTGGCTTGTCTCGATACATGGAGGACAGCTCCTATTACAAAGGTAGGAGTTTCACTTGTTCTGGGGACTAACTGTCCACAGCATACCAGAGGAGATCACTTTCAGCTGTTTTTGTTATCAGTAAGTCATGCATTAGGTTCCTCATTCTTTAAGCAGACAGCAGTGGCTGCTGTCATTCATGGACATTATAAACATGGAAATATATGTAGCACGTATGCGTGGGGTGAGTGAAAGAAACACAACTGCTCTTTCATTAGCGTATGACTCTGTAAGACTGCTATTGTGAACCACTCATCTAACTATGGGTGAGGGAAGTCCTGTGGGAGGGAAGTGTTTGTCTTATTCGGTCTTGTCACTTGTTCCTTTGTCCATGTGTATCTGTCCAAACCAATCACAATAAAAACCTTTGATCACAAAAAAAGTCACGCTTTCACCTCTCCCCCCAGCCTCTAAAGGGAAACTGCCTATCAAATGGATGGCACCAGAGTCTATTAACTTCAGACGCTTTACCTCAGCCAGTGACGTGTGGATGTTTGGTGAGTTTGGGAATTTGATACAGTACTTATCAAACAGTACTCAAAAACCTTTAAGACAAAGGCTGTATGTTATTAGCTGATAAATTATGGTTTAAATAAATATATGTTTCTCTGTACTCCAGGTGTGTGTATGTGGGAGATCCTCATCTACGGAGTCAAACCCTTCCAGGGGGTGAAGAACAACGATGTCATCGGCCGGATAGAGAACGGAGAACGTCTGGCCATGCCCCACAACTGCCCCCCCACCCTGTACAGCCTGATGACCAAGTGCTGGGCCTACGACCCTAGCAAGAGACCCCGCTTCACAGAGCTCAAAGCCCATCTCAGGTACGTCCGTCAGTCGGTCTATCTGCATGTACATTGCTGTAGTGCATGGTACGTTATTGAAGACTATCTCCTATGACTAGAATGTCATAAGAGCCATACTTTAGCTAAATGTATTTTGCAGTTATAGCTTTCACTGAGTCTGGACTGAGGTACATTGACTGAGGAGGAAAAATAATGCATACCTATCAGGGTTGGAGTTTATTCCATTTTAATTCAGTCAATTCAGGAAGTAAACTGAAATTCAAATTTCAAATGTTTCTCATAGAGGGGGAGATTTTTGTCGGAGCGAATGGTCGGGAAGCCTTAAAATAATTATAATAATTTGTACACTGCAAATTGACCACAACTAAGCCCAAAAATAGAAAAATAATTTCATACCTTGATTATATTGAAAGACGATCACGTCTCTTTTTTTATTTGTGGGAATACTTGGGAACAGATTTTCTCAATTAAATTAATTTTTAGCTGAATTCCTGCTGATTTACAGTTTTTTGTGAACAAAAACTAAAATAATTTTCTTTTTTCTTTGGGGGGGCCAAAGTAAATCACTCGCTGGCCGGTTTTGACCTGCGGGCCGTCTGTTACCGACCCCATCTAGATAGATTTTCATTCTTGGTCACTAGATGGCACTCTGTCACAAAAGCATCCACACAGTTCATTCATTGAAGGTGGAATTGACTGGCTTGTTTGTACAGGTAGATATACTGTACTACATGCCCAGTTCTCTGGCTGACACTTGGCTTCATGGGGTTTTGGGTTCTGTGATTTAGTTGAGGTCAGTCATACCTCTGGGTGACACTTGGCTTCATGGGGTTTTGGGTTCTGTGATTCAGTTGAGGTCAGCCATACCTCTGGGTGACACTTGGCTTCATGGTGTTTTGGGTTCTGTGATCCAGTTGAGGTCAGCTAAACCTCTGGGTGACACTTGGCTTCATGGTGTTTTGGGTTCTGTGATCCAGTTGAGGTCAGCTAAACCTCTGGGTGACACTTGGCTTCATGGTGTTTTGGGTTCTGTGATCCAGTTCAGGTCAGTCATACCTCTGGGTGACACTTGGCTTCATGGTGTTTTGGGTCCTGTGATTCAGTTCAGGTCAGTCATACCTCTGGGTGACACTTGGCTTCATGGTGTTTTGGGTTCTGTGATCCAGTTGAGGTCAGCTATACCTCTGGGTGACACTTGGCTTCATGGTGTTTTGGGTTCTGGTGATCCAGTTGAGGTCAGCTAACCTCTGGGTGACACTTGGCTTCATGGTGTTTTGGGTTCTGTGATCAGTTGAGGTCAGCTATACCTCTGGGTGACACTTGGCTTCATGGTGTTTTGGGTTCTGTGATCAGTTGAGGTCAGCTACCTCTGGGTGACACTTGGCTTCATGGTATTTGGGTTCTGTATTAGTGAGGTCAGCTATACCTCTGGGGACATTGGCTTCATGGTTGTTTTGTTTGGGTTCTGTGATTCAGTTGAGGTCAGGGTCATACCCTCTGGGTGACATCTTGGCTTCATGGTATTTTGGGTTCGTGATTCAGTTGAGGTCAGCTTACCTCTGGGTGACACTTGGCTTCATGGTTCTGTTTTGGGTGCGTGGATTCAGTTGAGGTCAGTCATACCTCTGGGTGGCATGGGACATAGGGAAGTCCCTCTGTTGGTTTCCATTAGATCGCACAGCCACAAAGTCAAAATTGGCTATAAATTCATGAAAACAGGGTTAAGGTTAGGGTAAGGTTAAAATCACATTTTTAAGAAGAGAAATTGCCGAAATAGGCGGGGTTTATGGCTTTGTGGCTGTGGTGACCAGTGACGACCCTCAGTAGCTCTGAATCGTCAGACCGTGCCCGTCTGTCCCACTTCCTGTCTGGGATGACCTCATCGTTGGTATGGTACAGTGCCAGGGCCCTACCCTCACCTTGCCTTCTATCCTTAGGATTCCATTGGTGAGGGAGTCAGACCTGTGCGTTTGATTTAGCTTGGAGTTTGCACTTTTGGGGACTATTCTATTGGTTTCATTTTATGGGGCAAACTATATTGAGTGCAGCTCAAGTGTTTGATATGTGTTTGACCCAGGTTTATTAAGGACTGAGTGAAAGCGACAATCTGCAGAAATAACAAAGGGACACCCCGCCACTATTTCGGTAAACAGCTGAGGAACGGGGCTGGAGAAATGTAACCTCACTCAAATTCATAGACAGAGCTATGGATGCAAGGACTGACCATCCATGATATCAGAATGATAGTTTGAACCTTTTTATGAAGCTATACAGTGTTAACAATTACATTGTTTACAAACAATGGTGTGAAACAAGCTTATATTTTGGGTTCTGACGGGTGAACTAAGCTCTTGAGGCATTCATAAGGTATATTCTTCAAGAATCAATGGGATATATCATTTATTTAAATGTCCAAAAATGAATGTAGCATTTGCAGAAAGGTCTGTATGGAGTTGAGGAAAGAACCTTTAGGTAACACTGAAGACATTTCTTCCCAGAAAAGGTCTAGACAGACACCCTGGTAACTGGCTTCGACTTCCCCTCTGATGTAGTGCTGGACATTTTCCCTTCATTGACAGGGTAGGGTTTTTGTGAGAATGAAGTGTGAGCATCATTTCTATGCATGCTCACACTTGTGTTGCTAGGCATTTGGATGTCCAGGTAAGATACCCTGGGGCCATGATGAGGTAGTTTTAACTTCACTCCATGACGTAGGGATCTGGCTCCTTTCCATCAATGACTGCTATGGAACAGAGCTATAGCTGCTGCATCTGTATGAGCCGTCCTGTTGCCTGCCATGCTGTCTCCCATCATAGTGCCCCTGGTTTACACAGAGAAGACATGTCGGAAAATAAGAGTGCATATTAAGGGCTGTGCTTTTATTATACTGTTTAAAACTCAGCATGAGTCACACCTCCAATTTATACTTGTCTTTCTAACTCCCACCACATCGGTCATGTTATGGTGCTCCAGCAACATGGCAGAGAGGGCTGTGTCCTGGAAACCATGTCAATATTTACACTCTTAATACTATTTACATGAAAAGCCAGGCCCTTAAAAGGCATTTGATGTGGGGTTCGTTGGTCGAGACTTGTTTTATATCATAATAATATAAATTAGGGAGCGCAGCTGCCAAAAAGGGTTGTGTGTCTGTGTGTGTGTATGTATATGTATATGTATGTGTGTGTGTGTGTGTGTACGTGCGTGCGTGCATGCAGATGACCTGAGTCATTTTCCCATTGAAAAAGCAACTACCAATGAGAAATGAGTAACAGAGGGTTGAGATCAGACTGGTCTCACAGACTGGTCTCACAGACTGATTACAGAGACTGATTGACTGGCTTCTGCAGTACTAAGGCAGGATCTGTCTCCACATGTCAGTTGAATGAAAACGATGAACCTCAGATACAAAACCAGTCATAACAAACATGATTCTCCCTTATTGTTGCTGAAGTGTGTATTTGTATTTAATAATGTATGGTACCACTGTAATATACCCTTACATGGTACCACTGTAATATACCCTTACATGGTACCACTGTAATATACCCTTACATGGTACCACTGTAATATACCCTTACATGGTACCACTGTAATATACCCTTACATGGTACCGCTGTAATATACCCTTACATGGTACCTGTCACGATCGGCTGAGGAAGTGGACCAATGCGCAGCGTGATAAGTGAACATACTTATTTATTGAACAAACAAAACAACAAACGATACAAAACGTGAAGTCCTTGGTTACAATACACACCATACGGAACAAGATCCCACAAATGACAATGCCCAAACGGCTGCCTAAGTATGGTTCCCAATCAGAGATAACAAGCAACAGCTGATTCACGTTGCCTCTGATTGAGAACCACCCCGGCCAACATAGAAACACAAGCACTAGAACTTAACCACAGAACACAAACACATAGAAACTACACACCCTGGCTCAACATATAAGAGTCCCAGAGCCAGGGCGTGACAGTACCGCTGTAATATACCCTTACATGGTACCACTGTAATGTACCTTTACATGGTACCACTGTAATATACCCTTACATGGTACCACTGTAATATACCCTTACATGGTACCACTGTAATATACCCTTACATGGTACCACTGTAATATACCCTTACATGGTACCACTGTAATATACCCTTACATGGTACCACTGTAATATACCCTTACATGGTACCACTGTAATATACCCTTACATGGTACCACTGTAATATACCCTTACATGGTACTACTGTACTGTACATAGCTGCTGCTTGGAAGTCAGTTGTAAAGCTGTAAAGTAAGTTGTGAAGTCAGTTTTAAAGTCAGCTCTGTGGTATTGTCATGCAGATATGACTCCAGCTAGTCTCACTATGAGAGGAGAACTCTGTACTCTGAGCAGGGAGGGGACAGTATTATTAAGTTCCATGGAAAAGAGGGCTGTCCAAACCAAACCCTATGTGCCATGTCTCTGAGGCTGAGGCTTTCTATCTGCTCTGCAGTGCACTGAGCTGACCTGAGAGACTGGCTGTCTGTCTGGCTGCTTGACCACGTCTTGCCAGATCGGCATTCTTGGCACTAGTGGTTCTTTAACCTCACCGTCACCTAGCCATCTTCTCCAGCCTCTATCTCGGCTCCACAGCGGAGGGCTTCAGTTCAGAGACCACCCTTTAACAAGCCAACCCGCCTGCCTGCCTGCCCGCCTGCCTGCCCGCCTGCCTGCCTGCCCACGCGTTATTACACCCTGTGGACAGATGCCAAGTGCAACATGCTGCCTGAATAGCCCAGTTGAGTAAGAAGGAGGCAGCTGTGCTGGACAGAACAGACAGAGGGCTAGTCCCCCATTCTGTTCTCTTGTGAAGACTATTTTATTGACTGAGCTCCGTTCCGGTTCTAATAGGCCGTTGTTGCTGGGACTCTCTGCCTGGTTGTCTGTCTGGTCTCTGAGGCTCTCTGCCTGGTTGTCTGTCTGGTCTCTGGGACTCTCTGCCTGGTTGTCTATCTGGTCTCTGTGACGCTGTGCTGGTAGTGATGGCCTTGTGTCATGTATACTGGACGTCTCTCCCCTAATGGATTATCTAAATGGCTATGGTCTCCTG